GGCCTTCACGATGGCGATCCTCTCCGAGAGCGGCCTGTCGGACTCGACGCGCTCGCGCAGGGACAGCCTGCCGGCGTTGTCCAGCAAGACATACGGGAGGCGAAGGCCTCGCCCGAGCCCCCCCCTGCGACGGCGAGTAGCCCGCGAAGTTGACCTGGCTGTTCATGGCCCAGCACACGGAGGCGATCATCCACTGGATATTGAGCTACCGCGGGTTGGTCGAACCTGATGCTGAACTGGTCGCTCAGCTTCCTCGCGTGCACCTTCCACATGCCTCCGCGTCGCTCCACTGTGGCGTTCTGCTGCGGCGTCGGCGCAGATGTCGTCATCAGGCGGCAACCCATGTCTTCAAGCTCCTTGGAGAACTCTCGCTCGAACTCGCCCATCCGATCAAATGTGACTCGCTGAGGCGCGCCGAAAGGCGTGATCCAAATCTGCAACAGTCGAACGAAAACAACCGATGGGTGCCTTGATGCGACAGTGCCGCACATCGTAAAACCTGGGGCCAGGTCGACCACGTTTAGGTGGACCATTTTGTTGCCAGCGTAGTCGGCCAGGGTGAACAGGTCCACTCCGATGGAGTCGTTGAAGTCCCTGTCCAGTCTGATCCGGCCCGGCAGGTGTGGTAGTGGTCGCTGATGTGCTGCACAGGCCTCGCAGTAGAGGTTGAGAGCCATGCCGATGGACCTCTGCGATCCACTGGTCACGCGAATGGCTCGGGCAAGTGAATCGTTGGACGGGTGCCCCGTGTTCACGTGGAGCTGCATGATGGCGGACCGTAGCGTCCGCTCCTCCGCGGCCGTGAGCGCTGGCTTTTGGGCGGCTGCGACGGCTGGAACCGTCCTTCTTCTTGCCCTTCTCGTCGTCGATGTAGGGTGAACTTCTCGTGCAGGTTGGCGGTTCGGACGTCGCAGCTGCTCTGCTAGCACCGTCGCGAGCTTGATCGCGTAGTTCTCGCTGCGCTTCGCGTCCTTCCCGAGGGCCTCTGCGTGGATGTGCCCACCGCTGCAGGGGCGCCTCAGCGAGTCGTCGAACCCGAAGTGGTCGGTAATGATCCGCCACGGCTTCTTGATGTGGGTCCATTTCTTCGTCTTGAGGTTGAACGCGCAGCCGTCGAAGTCACCGACGAGCTGCTCCTTCAGCTGCTTGGCAGTGGCGTTCTTGTTGGGGTCCCATCCGTCGCAGTACCTCGGCCACTCGAACGAGACGGCGAGCTGGGCGCCGAACTCCTTGCGCAGCCGTGACATCGACTGCAGGAACAGGCCGATCATCTGTTTGGACTTGGCCCGATCTTTTTTTAGTTCGGGCATCTTGCCCGGGCCGATCTTGACGACGAGTCGCTGTAGCCATGTCCGCGGCTGGCAGGTCAACGCAGCGTGGACTCGCACAATCCTGCCCGCGGCAAGGTTCTTCCGGATCCTGCCCTCCAGCTTCTGGGCCACGAACTGCTTGGAGAGGTCGAAGCCTGGAAGACCGCACCTAACAGCAGCTCCTCCTTTCTTCCTCCAGACGGCGCAGAGCTTGCTGTCCGGGTTGCAGCGCCACTCGTAGAGCACGGTACTGTTCGCTGCAGAAGTCGGGCTGGATCTGGTTGTAGACTTGGCCAGATTGGTGATCAGCGCCTGGCCGATCTTGCGCGGCTGGATGCCGCTCTTGCTGGTGACGAAGGCTGAGCGCTTGCCGGCGATCAGCTGCGGCTTCGTCCCCCTATTCAGCGTCCTCACGCGCAGCTGCTCCTCCTCCACGATGCTGGCCTCGGGTCCGAGACAGCCGTTGGCGATGGCGTCCTGGCCGTCACTCAGAGCTACGGGCGTGCCGAAGACGCAGTCCGAGCAGAAACGCTGGTGGCTGCAGGCCTCGAAGGTCGTCTCGCCACAGGCGGTGCAGACCTGCAGGGGCTCGGTCACGCACGTCGTGGGGTAGGTCGTCTGCGGCAGCGCCGCTAGCGTGAGGTTCGGAGCTGGAGCTGCGGTGGAGCAGCAGACCATAGCTGCGGCTACGGCCGAAAGCAGCCGCGACCCCTTCGGTCGGCGAGTCTGGAGGCGCCTCGGAACGTTCAGCTCCTTCTTCGTGACGAGGTTGTTGATTGTGTCGATCGGCGCGCTGGTCATGGTAGTGTTGTTGACCGTAGGCTGGTCGCCCGTCCTCGTCTTCCGATCCCGTCGGTCGAGCGCTTTCTCGACCTCTACGTATAGGGTCTTGTCCAGCTGTCGCTTTCTTCCGGACGAGCTGGCCGCGCTGGGCGGTTGCTCCGTGCCGGCGCCCATGATGGCCTGCCAGTCCTCCGGCTGCAACTTGATTGCAGGGTGGCCCGCGGCGCTCGTGGTGAGCTTCTGGGTGGCGTTCCCGATGCGGACTCGGCCCTTCCAGAGAGAGATGTCGATCTTGGAAGGCTGGATGAAGTCGCGGCCGATGAGCAGGCCGAGCGTGGGGCTGTCCACGACGCTGAACACGATGCGGCCAGCCTGGCCGCACAGCACAAGCGGCGCGGTGACGCGCAGCTTGCTTGGGAGAGCACCTCCGCTGCCGAACCTGTAGACCTCGTCCTCCGGCTCCTCGAGGATCTGGTCGGCTAGTCCCATCCTCGTGAGGATGTCCTTGTGGTTGTCGTACCACTTCTTGCCCGAGACGCAGAAAAGGCAGGCGGTGTCGACCACGCCAACGCCTTCGTCCGCGAGCTTGTCACTGCCGATCGCAACGTTCACGTTCGGCAGGGGGTGAGTGAGCCTCTCCGAGACGCAAGCCTCTGGGTGCGGCGTGACTGGTCCCTGCGGGTGCAGGGCAATCTCCTCGTCCGCGAACTGGACCTGCTCGGTGATGTGAGCCTGTCGCTGAGGGCGGCCTCCGCGACCTCCTCGCCCACCGCCCTTTCACTTGCCGTCCTTGGGCGCGAACTTGCGAGCACCTGGCGCGGAGCACTCTTTGTCCCCTGTCCAGTATCCGGTCTCGCCGCAGTCCCAGCAGGAAGAGTTTCTCCTGCGCTGGTCGACCTGGCTCTGTAGCTTGGTCGGGCGGCGGGGCGGTGCGGACTTCGCCTTGCCGCGGCCCTTGAGGGCCTCCCGGGCCGATCTGATGGTGGCCATGGCCTCGGGAATAGCGGCAAGTTCCGCTGCGGCAGCTTCAACCTTGGCGGAGTCGTCGCCGTCGAACAGCTCGGAGATGCCCACGCTGGAGGACTCGAGCTCGGCGCTGAAAACCTCGAGCTCCTGGCGAATGTCCTGGGCGTCGGCCTCGTCCTCGTCGTCCTCCTCTGGCTCTTCGTCGTTCTCGTCGTCCGGCTCGTCGGCGACGTCGGTGGAGCGCCCCCCGCGGCTGGAGTGAACGTTGCTGCGCCAGCCGCCTCGTGAGCGCGACTGGTTGTTCCATGACCTCGGCGGGGGGGCGCGGCGCTCCGACGCATGGATGTCCGGGAACATCCTGACCAGCAGCCCGCGGATGCGCTGGTAGCCGCAGTGCTCGTCGGGCAAGTTGCCCACGACGCGCTCGCGGCGTTCGGCCGTGAGCCCGGCCTTGCGCAGCAGGAGCCATCCCGCCACGTCGCCCAGCGCGTTGAGGTCCAACCTTGTTCTCGCGTAGCTGCTGCAGTCCGGTCTCAAAATGGATGAGCCAATCCGTCATGCGTTCACCTCTGCGTCGGTGATGTTGAGCCGACTCCAGAAATTTCTCGAGGTTATCGCCTTTCTGCGCGGGCTTTTGCTGACCCAGGCTCGCTTCCAGGTGCTGTAGCACATTCTCAATGCCGACCTGGTTCCTGTTGCGCTTATTGTCGGTGGGGTCTTCGATGTCCGCCGCGGCTGCAGGATGCAGCTGCGCCTCCGCCATGTTGAGTGCTGTACCCCGGCTGTCCCGCTGAGCTTCAGCACGAGCTTCGATGCGAGGCTGTGCGCCACGGCGAGGTTCTCGCTGAGCTTCCAGAGCTTGACTTCCTGCTTGTAGTCTCTCCACTTCGATGGGTCGCCGTTCCAGGTGGGAATGACGCTGTGGGCGCAATTGTCTGCCATCTTGTCGATGATAAAGTAGTAGGCCGCGTCGCTGACACTGGCGTAGAGGGAGTAGTTGGCGTCGCTGACGCCGCCGTAGGAGAAGTAGCTAGCGTCGCTGACACTGGCGTAGGAAGAAAAGCAGCTAGCGTTGCTGACACCGGCGTAGGAAGAGAAGTAGTTAGCGTCGTCGCTGGCACTGCTGTAGATGAAGTAGCTGGCGACGTCGCTGACACTGCTGTCGGAGAAGTAGCTGGCGTTGAAAGCGTAGTCGTTGGCGTCGCTGACGCTGGCGGCGGAGAAGTAGGCGCGTTGAAAGCGTAGGAGGCGTAGTCGCTGGCGTCGCTGACGCTGGCGTTGGAGTTGGCAGGGTAGGCGTAGTAGGCGTAGTCGCTGGCGTCGCTGACGCTGGCGTAGGAGAAGTATGCGTTGCCGCTAGCGTCGCTGACGCTGGGCGTGCTGCGCAGCAGCTGGGTGATGATCGACAGGAAGACGCTGGTCTTCGATCCCACTGGACGTGTCGCAGACGCCGTCGTTGCTATATGGACGGCCCAAAGGCCGGGGCAGCGAGCACAGCTCCAAGTTACCACTGTAATATGGAAAGATCGCGGATCTATCGTTTCTGGCACGCTCGCAGAGCGGAATCGTAGCTCTAAGGCCAAGGGTCTTAGTTTGAGGAACAACGGTTGCGGCAAAGCGGGCATGAGAGACAGAGCGGAAGCGAGGCGGAAGAGGGCGAGGGAACCGCTAGGAATCACAGCACGAAGGCCTCTCGCGTGCTGCCTCTCGGTGCCGCGCCTTGACCCCCAGCGTCACGTTTTTTCATGACGTCGACCCTCGCAGGTCTCGACCCATTCCCAGGGGCCAGTTTCTCATCCTGAGTCGTTTTTTGACGGTCCCGAGGCCTGATGGGGGTCCTCAGAGGCCGAAAATAGCAGAAGACTTCGTGCTGTGATTGCTGTCACGGTCCGAGAGGGTTCTGGGTTCCGTGCTGTATCGGGTGTCCTCCCCGCCGCCCAGGCAGGGGTCGCCCACCGTCGCCGACGCTCTGGCCGCCCTGTCGCTGGACCCCCGCTTACGCGCGGCGGGGCGGGTCTCGGCTTACTCTGGCGGCACCGCTCGGGCGCCCTGCGTTGGGCCTGCCTTGAGGCCAGTCGTCCCAGGGGGCAGGATCGAGGATGGAGGCTTCCGACGTCGTTGTTCCCTAAATTGCGGTCGGGAGCTTCGAGATGGTGTATCGCTCCGCCGGTTCTGACCCACCACGCTGCGGCGCGATTCTTATCCGCTTCCCAGCCCCCAGCTTTCAACGTCCCGAGCTTTTCCGAGCCTCCCGCCCCGCGGAGCGGAGCGACACGCTATCCGCCTGCAGGGCATAGCAAAAGTTCCCAACCGTAGCGTTTCACGAGAGGGGTTTCTAGTGGAGGTCGTGGAGGTCTTTCGGGGGACCACACAGAAGACCAACAGGGGGGACGGGGATCTCCAGGACGCCGTTCCTAGGCGGCCGCTTCGCTTGAGACGACCTCGCAGTTTATTCAGGGATCGTGCTCTCGCGTCAATGCCGGCTACATGTTAGGTCCGGATGGCCACGATCTCTTTGTACGAAGGTGCATTCAGGTGCACATGGCCGCGCTCTGATGCTCTTCGGGTGCCTTGCTGGGGTAATACTTCTTGTTTGGCCTCCCGGGGTGCCCTCGTGGCCACGGCTGGATTCGCTCAGAAGTTCTGGCCAGAACGCACCCTAGGAGAGTTCCAGGACGCCATCTATACACCGCGCTTGTCCTGACCTGGCCAATCCTGGGCCAAGGATCGGTGCATGTGCCCCACTGGCTCAGGCAGGCGGCAGGAATCAGTTTGTTCTAGAGGAATATCATGAGTGGACTGCTCACGGGAATTTTTGGAGGTGCCAGGTGTGCCACAGGGGGTTCAGGTCCGTGAAGACCTCTCCCTGGTCGGTGCCCTGGACCCAAACTGTTGACATGGATGCGATTAAGAGGCTGGGACATCGCCCAGCCCTTCCCTGTGTTTCAGCTGGGTCCGAGCTTTTCGTTTGCTTACATTGCGGAGCGTTCTTGCGCGATGCGGTCCTGTCCAAGACAGGGTTCGCGAGTCGATGCCCAAGGGTCCCAGCTCGTCCTAGCCGAACGAGCCTCAAGAAGGTCCAAAGAGGCCTGCACCCGAGGAGAGAGGAGCTCAAGCTCGCGGATGCTCCTTCCCTGCCCTCTAGTTGTCCTAGGCCCGACGCCGGCCACGTTGCTGCTGCCAGTGACTGCAACGAGCCATGCCAGATTGCGACAAAGTATCGAGTTGCCGCTGCATTCCGTCTGGAGGAGGCGGCCTCGGCGTCGCAACGGCGTGCTGATGAAGGAGGTGGTCTGAGGTCGTTGTCGTCGCTGAGGGGGGAAGGAGGGGTCCACCCAGCCCGACCGTTCGGGCAAGGACCGCGCCTCGAGCTTTCGGGGAGTTGATGGTCCATCATCGAGCGGCAGGTTTGACCCTCACCAGTGTGGCGAGGAGGCAGATCGAGAGTCCGCCTCCCCAGGGTCGGATTTCATGATAGTGTTACTCCCTTGTGGGCCTCACCACCCCACAAGGAGTAAGCAGGCAGCATGTGTGGATGTTACAAAAATGTTTCTCCTCTTCCTCCTCGTGTCTCCGCCGCCCCCGCCTGTCCCACGTACCCAGCATTTCCGTACTGCCTTCCTTACCCGTCTCGTCTTCCCGAATTTTGCAAAGTGTTGCATTCGGGAGCGGGTTGGACGGTGGTTCGGGGTCGGGGGAGGACCTTTCGATTCGCGGGTTGGCTGAGGGATGGTGGGGGAATGTCTTGGGGAAGACTCGTCCCTCGTCGCGCTTAGGTGCCTTTCAGACCTGGACGGGTGTGTGGATCACGCCCACTAGGATGCGCAACTCGCGGGCAGGTGGGTGTATCTTGGGGTGCGGGAGCAGTTCGGACTTGCTGGTACACCATCTCTGGTGTGCCCGCCTGTCTGAGCTCGTCGCTCGAACTTCTGGCGGTCGTTGTCTGGCTCGTGATTCCCTTAGGAGGTTGCCCCTCTCCAATCCGTCGGAATCGAGTCTGCCTCGCATCGCGCTTCTATGTCATACTGATCGTCTGCTGCGCACCGAAGCCAACGGGAAGGGCTTGGCAGTGATGTACCCTGGTGAGGCCCGTGCCACCGGCAGGGTTGCGAAGATGGCCACCGATCTGCCCCAGCGGTAGGGCGGAGGGAAGGAATCGTCATCGACGCTGTGCGTCTTCCTCCTCCTCCTCCTCCTCCTCCTCCTCCTCCTCCTCCTCCCCCGCACCTCGCGAGGGAGCAACTGGAAGAAGGGGATGGGGAGCAGACCGGATCGGATCTGCAGGTGTAGCGAGGGCGTCCTCACGCGAGGAGGGCCAGGAGGAGGCAGAGGAGAGAGGGAGGGAGAGAGGAGGGAGGAGGCAGGAGGAAGATGAGTAGGGAGGAGAGGGGATGGAGGAGGGAGCAGGGAGGAGGGAGGAGGCATAGGAGCAAGGAGGAAGGAGGAGGCGGAGGAGGAGAAGAAGGAAGAAGAAGAGGACCAGTGCAAGCCCAGGGCCCATCAACGATGTTGCAATAAGCTCTCCCCTTCCTCCAAGCTCCCTCTTTATGGGCCCCTATAAGTATTCATGTTCATTGAAGGCAGTACCCCGCTGGAAAGCAACCGTTTGAAAATCTTGAACTGTGCCAGAACACCATTCTTGAGATTGCAACGCCGCGAATCACCGTTACTATTATCCGTAAGGGTTTCGCCCCCTGCCGCTGGCCCCCTCTCTCGGAGAATGGGCCATGGAAGAGCGAAGTCATGAGGCTTTGGCTTTGCCGTGAAGCAGTGTCGGGACCTATTTGTTTTTCGACCCTGACCCTGCCGATCTGTGTGAGGGGTGCCGCCGAATTTCAGACATGTGGCACATCCCTTCTGTTTTTGGACCCTGACCCTACGGATCTGCGTGAGGGGTGCCACCGAATTTCAGAAATGTTTCAAGTCCCCAATGTTTTTGGACCCTGACCCCGCCGATCTGCGTGAGGGGTGCCGCCGAATTTCAGACATGTGGCAAATCCTTTATGTTTTTGGACCCTGACACTACGGATCTGCGTGAGGGGTGCCACCGAATTTCAGAAATGCTGAAAATCCTATGTGTTTTTTGTTGGACCCTGACCCTGCCGATTTGCGTGAGGGGTGCCACCGGATTTCAGAAATGTTGCAAATCCCACTTGTTTTTGGACCCTGACCCCGCCGATCTGATTGCGGGGTGCCACCGGATTTCAGAAATGTGGCACATCCCCAGTGTTTTTGGACCTTGACCCCGCCGATCTGCGTGAGGGGTCTAATTTTTTACCCCCTTAGGAATTCTGAGAACCCTCCCGGGGGACGCTAAACAGGGCAGTTTTCGGTTCCCCCCCTCGCGCGGACAGTAACAATTTACAGTAGGAAGCAGAAAGCAGTATTGTAACAATGGGAACTGGAAACTGGAACTGGTGCAGGGAGCAGCAAACCTAAGCCTCGCAGCCTGATGGCCCCGCAAGGGGGCCAGCGGATATCTTGACGATCCTGAATCATGCCAGAACACCATTCCTGGGCTGTCAAGACCACACAAAAGCAACTGTTGCGCCCTGGCAGCCCGACATCGGGTCAAAACACCGTGTCTGTGACGTTACCCATGAGAATCCTTGAAATTGCTGTAAAATCTCAAAGCGAACATGCGCGGCGCTAAGGCGAGAGGCACATCTTGAAGAGGAGCCGCCCTCCATCCGTGAAACTATTGACTTCTGAGCAACGAATGCGCTCAGCGTTTAGGCGAGAGCCTTTTGTTGAAAACGGCCCACCCTCCATCCGTGAAGCTCTTGCAATAGTACAAGACGAATGCGCGCGACGCTAAGGCGAGAGCCAAATGCTGAAAACAAGATGTATTCAATACATGAAGCTCTTGCAATTGTTTAAGACGGATGCGCGCGGCGCTCGGGCAAACACAACATTTCAAAACCATCCGCCCTCCGTCCGTGAAGTTTTTGCAAATATGAAGCTTCAGGATCATGAGCGGTGAGGAAGTCTGGCCCACCCTTCCGACTGGCCTCGGGATACGACATGGAGAAGATACCAGAAGGAAAAAAACAAGAGGAGGAGGAGGAGGAGGTTGAGGAGGAAGAGGAGGGGGAGGAGGACGAGGAGGAGGAAGAGGAGGAGGAGGAAGAGGAGGGGGAGGAGGAGGAGGAGGAGGAGGAGGAGGAGGAGGAAAAGGAGGAGGAGGAGGAGAAGTTGGAGGAGGAGGAGGAGGATGATGCTTATTACTAGTTTATTATTATTTTGTTATTTTCATTCTGATACTAATAGTAATTCTTATTGTTAGCTTGTTATTTTATTATGATACTAATAGTAATTCTTATTGTTAGTATCATTACCATTCGTATTATTATGTGACGGGGCTGGCTGGAGGGCCCGGCGCAGACTTTGGGTCCCGCGGGGACGGGGCCTCGGAGAGTGCTCCTCGGCCAGAGCCTCGTGGACGGCCTCCAAGCCGCATCACCCCAGCGCCCTACCGAGGGAGAAGGGCCCTGGCCTCGTCCTCTCCTCATCCTGCCCCCCCCCCTTTGATCCTGCTGCTCCTCCTCCCGCAGCGTTCTTGTCCCTTGGCGTGGGCAGCAGGCCCCAAGTCTTGCAGCTGACCGCAAGTCGGAGAGTGGACTCCAGACCCTGACGATGACGACGACGGCGTCGACGACGACGACGACGACGACGACGACGACGACTAAGAAGGGGGGAGGATGAGAGCCCGTCCCAGCTCCCTACGATTTTCGAGCGCCTCCCAGCCCAGATCTGGGCTGCAGTGCTCTCCAGGCCCCGCGCCCAGTCGGCTGCTTCCTCGTAGCCCGGCCCGCTAGGGACGAGCGCCAGCGGGGGGGAGTCGCTCGGAGGCCCGACGCCTGGCCCACTGGCTTTGTGCAGCCCGTGCCGCAGGCTCTTCCAGTCCTGTGATTCAGGGATGAGGCCGCACCGATTCTGACCCCACAGCAGATGCACGATCGGCGCCTGGCCAATGAGCGCCTGCCCACGGTATGGCCGAGGACTATGTATGCACCACGGAGCCGGGCCACGGATCGCTGCCCCAGGAGCGCCTTCCCGCAACACCCCTACGGGAAAGCTTGGGCGAGGTCTCGGTTGAGCCTTCTTCGTATCTGCAGGTAGTGCACTGGCTGCCTGTGTTGCAAGAGAAGGTCACTGGCGCGCCTCCAGTTCCCGCCGCTGCGCACCGGATTGCACATACTCCTTGTATCTGCCGCGGCGCCCTCCGTGGTCCCTGTGCCACGCTGGCCAATGATCTTGTTTCTTTTGTTCGGTGAGCCCGTGACTGAGACGAACGTACGCGGGGGGAAGGGGCCAGCTTCCCCAAAGGTACGGCGCGATGCTCACAGGCATTTTGTGGTTCTGAGAGACATGCTTTGGTGGTCGTCGTCGCCAGCGCCAGTCGTCGTCGTCGTCGTCGTCGTCGTCGTCGTCGTCGTCGTCGTCGTCGTCGTCGTCGTCGTCGTCGTCGTCGTC